TTATACGCCATCTTTTATTTATTCACACGGAAGTCAACACGGAAATCAATACGGAAATCAACACGGAAATCAGCTTTTTCAGATTACTCAGAACTCAGTTCTGAAATTAAAATTAACATTAAAAACCACATTATAAAACATTAACAAACAAATCATCAATTAAGTTGCAAGCCACGCAATCTTCTCCAGATGTTCTTGAGCTTTTTTACTATAGAATTAAAAATTAATTATAGTTAGTTTATGTGATTATGTTAGATATGTATGGTGATGTGTTTTTAAAATTATATTTCATTTTTATTTCTAACTTTTTTCTTGCCCTTCTTTATCTCTTTCCTTTTTACTAAAAAGAGTGAGTGACTTATCTTTATATATAAAGATAAATCACTTATTCTTTTTAGTAAAAAGAAAGAGTCACATTGTACACAATATAAAATCTATATATATAAATATATATATATATATATATATATATATATATATATATATATATATATATATATATATATATATATATATATTGACATTAAAAATTAGTCATTCTTGAAATTACTTTCTTACAAAATATATTTTACTAGTAAATATACTGTTATTTTTATTTTTATCTCTCGTTAAAGCAAATTGTAAAACTATTGAATATAGTAATATTTTATATAAAATTATAGTATAGTTAATATTTACATTAGGATAACATTATTATTAGGATAACATTAGGATTTTTGTTATAAATGTCATTATATATATATATATATATATATATATATATATATATATATATATATATATATATATATATATATATATATATATATATATATATATATATATATATATATATATATATATATATATATCTATATACATATATATATATATATATATATATATATATATATATATATATATATATATATATATATATATATATATATATATATATATATATATATATATAAATTGTTTAATTTTTCTTTTATACAATAAAATTAAAAGGTATGACAGGTGTTTTTAAGCTACTTTTTTTTTAAGATTCGGATGCAGTTTATATTTAATTGAAGTTCATCACAAGATACTTTTTACCATTTAAAAAATATTTATTCTTAGAAATAAAGCAACCGATGCAGATCGACGTATACGTGCAACTGAAACAAATCCTGTTTTTGGTGTTTTTGGGGAAAGACAGCTTTATCGGTTTTGATTTCTCTTCTTATTTGTGCATCTCTTGATGTATTGCATTTAATTTATACAGGAATTGCTAAAACAATTTTAAATTTTATTGTTTCCAAAATATCTAATATAATTGACTCCATAAAATTAACACATTTTTTTTGACAAAAGCGAAAAAATATGACTAATAAACTTATTAAGTGGAAAGCTCAAGAGCACAAATATTTGCTTTTGTATTACGCACCATTTATGTTTTACGAAGTTAGTAATGTTGAAATTTGTTCTCTTTATTTAATGCTTTCAACGTCTATTTATACATTATCTGATGAAATTGTTTTATCAATTGATACTGATGCTTGTCAGCAACAAATATATTTATTTCAAAAGGGATTATGCTTCTATTTTGGTGAAGGCTTTCGTACCATTACTTTCCATGCATCGGTGCATCTCTCTGACCAGGTAAAAAATTTTGAACTTCTTACATCAACAACTGCTATGGTGTTTGAAAATGTGAATTGCTAACTAAAAAGCTCTTTCAAGAACTAAAGGTCATGGAAGACAAATGCCTGAAAAATTTATTCGATTTCAGATGGAAGACTACTTAACAACTTTTCCTTTGAATCCGTGTTTAGTGCAGCATAAAATATAACAGATAAGTTGCGGAATATGGATTTAAATGATTTAAATATTGACATAAATCTTTATCAGTTTTATAACCGTTTTAGAGTTGCTGATAGAAATTTTCATGGTTATCATTATGGAAAAAAACTAAAATCAGCTTCGTATTATGCATATCTAATAGAATACAATGTGTTTAAGAAAATTTTGTTCATTGCACGTTACCAAAGACAGATCTTGTATCTATGTCAATTATATAAAAGTGTAAATGAGTTTTATCATCATGCTCATTCGATTACTGTAGTATTTTTTTATGCTATAAAAAAATACTACAGTAATTGAATTATCAAATGCAAATATGATACTAAAAAATCATGGTCCGTCATTAATAACATATTAGAAGATAAAAATAAGCTCGCCTTCTTTTCCTAAAAGAATTAATATAAACAACGCTGATATTTTCTTTCAAAAACAAATCTCAGAAGAATTTAATAACTATATTGTAAACATTGGTCCCATTCTTGCTAAGAAAATAATTTCAACATCTGATTCATTTTAAAAATACTTACAACCTTCTAATAGCGCTCTAATGCTTGATTATGAATTTACCTATCAAAAATTTGAAGAAGAAAAAAAAAAAAAAATGGCTTGATGGGTTTGATGAAATATCTAACAATTTAGTTATTTCAAACGAAAATAGCCTAAGCAAACCTCTGACCCATATCCTAAAGCTCTCAATATCTACTGGAATTTTTCCTGACGTGCTTAAATTAGCAAAAGTAGTTCCTATATGCAAAAATAATGATCATTCAGACATTACTAACTATAGACCTATATCAATACTTTCTGTATTTTCAAAACTTTTTAAACGTGTAATTTATAATAGAATCTATGATCATTTTACTAAAAACAATTAATTTTACCAAAATCAGTTTGGATTTCAAAAAATGTTTTCAACTGAACACGAAATACTTGAAATAGTAAATCAAATATTTGATGGTTTTAAACAAACATAAAAGCATTTGATACAGTGGATCATTGCATCCTTTTAAATAAACTAAAGCATTTAGGGATAATTAATAAAACTTATTATTGGATTAAAAGTTATCTTACGAATAGAAAGCAATATGTGAATAATCCGCAATCTGGAGTATTAAATGTTTTATGTGGAGTCCCTAAAGGTTTAATTCTTGGTTTACTCCTGTTTCTAATTTATGTAAATGATTTTTGTAATGCATCTTCAAAACTGAATTCAGTCATGTTTGCTAATGATACAAATTTGTTTATTACTAACAATGATTTAAAAAAAGTATATGCAGATTTGAATATTGAACTAAATAAAGTCAATAGTTGATTTAGGGCTAACAAACTTTTACGTAATGTTGAGAAAACTAATTATATAATATTTCATAAAAAAAATTAGGAGGAAAACCTTCCTCTTTAGTTGCCAGATTTTATCTTAAATGATAAATTAGTGAAAAAAGGCAAGCCAGTATAAGATTTTTAGGAATTTTGATTGATGAAAGTTTATCCTGGCTTCCTCAAATAAAATATATCTAGTCTAAGATCACCAAAACTGTTGGTATGATGTATCGAATTTGTTAATTCGTCAATAAACAAAGTCTCAAATTAATATATTTTGGGCTAATTCATAGCTTCATCAGCTATGCAAACATTTCATGGGCAAGTACACAACCATCAAAACTTATAGCTTACAAAGATCTGCCAGCAGGATCATTTTTTCTAAAGATAAACGTGAATACGCTAAAGCCTAAATGAAAGATATGAAAATAATACATGTATTTGAAATAAATACCTATAAGCATTTAATTTTTATGTATAAATTTAATAACAATCTCTTTCCAGCAAATTTTAATAAGTTTGAAACAAATGTAAATGAAACCTAAAACCTAAGGGCAAATTTAAGTAACACATATAAACTGCCTTGGAAATCTGATAAATATACGAAATATAGCATTACATATAGAGGGCCAAAAATATGAAATACCTATCAAAAAGGACTGAAGGGTATGGTTAAGTCGTTAAGTTCATTTAAGTATCTAACAAAAACAGAATTTTTTAAAACTTGAAATTTTATATATTTTTATTATACTTTTATATTTCTGGATATATTTACTCGGAAGTCTCTTGATTATTTTTTCAGTCTTTTCAGTCTTTTTTTTTTTAAATTTTTTTAAACTTTTTTTTGTCTTTGTTTTAATTTTTAATGCAGTAAAGAATACTATTATACTTTTATAGGTTCTTAGTTTTTTGATTTTTAGTTTAAAATAAAAATGATATTTAATCAAAACTTTGAAACCTTTATACTGCTCTATGAAAAGATTGCGACGACGTTTCGTCATCCTTATCTTCTTTGAGCCCCTGACTGCTTAATTCTTTATTAAATAAAGATCATTAAAAAATCCATTCCATTTTATATTTTATATACGAAACAGTGCCTGGTGACAGGATGTACAATTTTACTATGGATAGTATGTTTTTTATGTATATATAAGTTGATTGTATTTATTAAACAGCAAAATAAATGTAAATAAAAAAAAAAGAAAAGGTTTTTCAGCTCCATTACAATTATATTATTTATAGTTATATCACTATATTATTTTACAAAACTTTTTTATACTCTAGTTCTACTTTTACAACAGCATTCTAATTTTGTTTAAAACCTGATCACATATAAATGACATATATACATTTAAGGAAAGGTCTCACAGACCTTTCAATAGATGTATATGTTTGGGAAAATATTAAAAGTAATCCGGTATAAACTGATCGGAATATCGCCTATTAAATTTCCTTGATTTACACTTTTATCAAATATTATAAATTAATATCAAAATATCTCATTATTAAAATTTATAAAATTTTTGGTATTTTAACATATTGAACATGTTAAATTTTGAATCCCCCATATAAAGAATCAAAAAAAAGTTAATATTGGCCTAAGTACCATTGTGCACTTCTTTAAAATAATTGAAGAAGGGAGTTTAACCAACAGTTTTTCATTATTTTAAACCAACAGTATTCATTTTTCTCAAATATTAAAGTACAAAATTTTAAAATCTTAACTAAATATTTTTGAAATTTAATTGTAGCATTTCTTTTTTTTTAGACCAGGTTTTTTAATGTGTTTTAAACTTCAAAATGAGGTTTTTTAATGTGTTTAAGCCACGTTTTTTAATGTGTTTAAAACATTAAAATGAGGTTTTAAATGTGTTTTATTCTATATAAAAAACTTAATTAACTTTTGTTTATCCAAATGTTGAACTTTTCTTGTGGCCGAATACATTTCTCTACATTCATTGTTTTTAATAAAGGATTTATTCGAAAATTAATACCATTTCTTAATTTATCACAAAGCATGCAAAAAAAACTAGAGCTATCTAACTGCCAATGTTTTTTCCACTCAAAGAAAGAGTTATATTTTGTAGAATCTGAACTAACGTCTAAAATATAATCAGCCAAGGTTTTAGGAGAATCAAAACTCATAGCATCGATATATGAGCCTGGAATTGCTAATCTTGGATCAGAATAGTTGGAACCTCCTAGAACTATAGGTATTACGTTGTTATCAAGTCCAGTATTCCAGTACTTTTCTGTGATATAACCGTCACATAAAAAATTCTCAGCAGAAAAATAAAACTTAAAATCGCGTAGATCTTCATAACAAGGTCTTCCTCGACATTTTGATGAAAAACGCTTTGGAAAACTTCCCGCGCACCCTCCTGAAACCTCAATATCGACACCATACGATATCAACTTCAATGCAAGTTTGTTTCTAGCATCAGCGTTACAATTACTCACAGTCCAAGCAACCATTCTTGTTTTGTTTAAAAAACGATCTTTGTTATAGTTTTCATCAACTTCTAAGCGTTTTTTATGATATCTGTAAGGGAACGGTATATCGGTATCAACTCCGTATGTTGCGGAAGCATTAAAATATTTGTCTATATCAGTAACATCTGGATTATTGTATATAGACTCCATTGTAAAATAAATCCATAGCTGGTCTTTTCCTCTCAAGTTATTAAGGTGTATCAACTCTTGCAAGGATGGCATGTTGCGCGAGTGAAACATTACCACATTACTACTCTTAAACTGTTCCTTATCATTTGTTACTTGAAAGCTAGAAGTGTTAAAACCACATTCAGATGAAGGGTGTATAGGAAACGAATCACCAAAAAAAGTTGTGTATGTCAGTATAAAAAAATTTCGTTCTTGAATTGATAAACCTTTAAAGCAAAACAAAAAAATTTAAACAAGCAAAATTAATATAAACTAAACATTTAAAAACATGTAATATATTAACAGTATTTACTAGGAAAGGGTAGAGCAAGATGAAGACCCCTGTACGTTTGTTCAAGCTAGATAGAATAGCCATGTTTAATTCTTTTAATATAATATTGATTTTTTTAAATGTTTTATAATTGTTATGGTTTTAATTGATTTTATATTTTTCGCAATAATTGAATAATTATTAATTAATTATGCGAAAATATTAGTTTTGTTGGCAAGTCGTTTAACGGTATTCTAAAAGGGAAAAACTAATATACAAAACGAATTTTATTTTTAATTAATTTCCAAATCTATAAGCAAGATAAAAAACTTCTTATAAATTGGTCAATGAGAATTTTTTTTATTCATTATTGATGAAAGATTTAAATCTTTGATCTACATGTATAACTAGTATATGTACTTTAGAAAAATAATTAATGACTCAGAGTAAACAAATTATTCTTGATGGCAAAATCTGGTGATCCTTTGCAAATTTTAAACTTATTTCTGATTCTAAACGATTTTTGTTATATTAACTTAACAGTTTACTTAAATGTTTAAAAACAAAATAAACAAACAAAAAAAAGATTTAAAAAAGGGTTAAAAAATCGTATGAGTTTCCAACCCAATAGGCTGGGTGAGCAATTGCGTTTACTCAGTAATTGGTCAGCTTTACGTAAATAAAAACTTTAGCAATTTTACTTAAGTTTTTGTTTACGTAAAGCTGAAGGACTACTGAGTAAATGGCTCAACTTTAAATGAATAAAAATTTGACTCCTAAAGTTTGTGTTCATGTAAAGCTGACTAATTACTGAGTAGAAGCAATTGCTTATTTTTATTCACGCGGTCTAATAGCTGATTTTTAATGCAATTGTTATTGCTAATAAATTATTTAAAACTTGTTGTTACTTCTTCGTTAATAGTAAAATCAAGTGTTCTTTATTTCCATAATTTATAAAACTTAACTTCGAGATACTGTTGAAATAAATCTGAAATTGTTTCATTTTGTCTAATTCATAATTTGCAAAAATTTGTTAAAAGATTTTAATAGAAACTTAAATAAATTGACTAATTTCACTTTAACAAAACTGTTGCTTTTTAAACTGTTCCATTTTATTGGTCCTCGATTCGTTATACTGTACTTTTTATATTTTGTTAATTTCCGTGGGAATTATTCATTAAATCTTAATAAATATTTATCAGTTTTTACCCATGTCTAGCCTAGGCAGCCGTTTTTAAGGTTTCAACCGTATCAAGAAGCTAAATCCACTACCTGAATATGTTCCATGAACCAGTCATTCTTTGAATCTGGCTAGTATTGAAGCAGCTGATTCTTTTGCGACAGTTATCTTTTGCTATATTCAACAACTTAGTAACTTTATTTCTGGTTTAGCGCATCACTGGAAAGTTAAAAGAAATCAAGACTCGAAATAGAATTCTCGAATAGTTTCTCGAATAGAACTCGAATAGTTTCTCAAAGACTTGATGGTCTGCGTGTGCACATACGTATTCTGCTTTTTTTATGGTGGCTCAACCCTCTTAAAAATGTAAAAAAAAAAAAAATCGTTTTTTTTTTTATTGCTTCTTTATCTAGTTTAAGCATTGCAGATTCCAAAAATATGTCATTTGAGATAAGTTATACGTTCCATCATAAAGAAACTTACATTTTTATGGTGTAGGGTTAAAAATGTTATCCATAGCAACACCATAGCAACCGTGTCAGCTTTGATTTATCTGCCCATTTTTTGACAAAAAACCTATAATTTTAACTACAAAATACATTTTTTACTTTGTCTACTTTGTTTTACGGCATTCTGTTATTTACAAGTTATAGTTTTCATTTTAATGACGACATTTAAATAACAAGAAGTAATGTTATTTATGTTGTGTTGATGTCAACGCAGTGCCTTCATCCAATATTTTTTATCTATCTTAATAATACAAATAACTGCATTTGTTCTTTATATGTTTATAGAATGATTAAATATGGGTAAAAATAAAATAAGATTAATCAGAAAAAGACAGTTTTCATCTAACAGATAAACGTGTGCTACGATAAATCAAATTGATAAACCAACAGTAAAGGAAGCTGTTTCATCAACAAAAATTAGTTTAGATGATTCACTTTTAACTATTGAAAAAGGAGATTCTAACTTCTTTATAATAATTCACTTTGGAGTACTGCAAAGTTGTTTTCAACTTTTGAGTAGATGCCTAGAATGTGGCGACAAGGTCACTGTCAGTCTTGACCAAATAAAAAAATTAGGACTTTCGCATAACATTAAACTAGAATGTATATCTTGTGATTGGAGTTATAATTTTTACTCATCTCCTGCGATAAAAAATAAACACATTCAAGAAGTTAATGTACGTGCTGTAATGAATTTTCGAGAAATTGGTTGTGAACATGAAGTTTTAAAGACATTTGCAGGATGTATGAATATGCCACCTCCAATGACTTTTAATTCATATAAAAACATTAATAATCTTTTAGATAATTTTTATGACTCTGCTACATCTAAATGTATGAAAAAAGCTGCAGACGAGATTAGAACTTCTGCAAATACTGGTGCTTCAATACAGCAACTTCCAGTTGATTGTGATATCAGCTTAGATGGAACATGGCAGAAGTGAGGATATTCTTCTTTAAATGGTGTTGTTTCAGCTATCTCCAAAGACAATAAAAAGTTTTAGATGTTCATGTTATGTCTAAGTTCTGTAAGAGTTATGCTGTCTGGAAGAAAAAAAAAATACTCTTGAATATAAACATTGGAAAGCAAATCACCGTTGTGATATTAACCACTCGAAATTGTCCGGAGCAATGGAATCCGCGGGAGCTATAGAAATATTTCCCTCATCAGTTGAAAAATATGCTTTAAGATACGCACACTACATAGGTGATGGAAATACTGCCTCATTTAACGATGTAGTACAGTCTAAACCATATGGTGATGAGTTGATTCCCATTAAATGGGAATGTATTGGCCACATTCAAAAGCGCCTTGGGGCACGCCTGCGCAACAAAAGAAAAGAGTTAAAAGGTAAATTGCTCTCTGATGGAAAAAAAATTATTTGTAGGGGTAGGTTAACAGATTTAGCAATTAACACTTTGCAAAACTTTTATGGGATGGCCATAAAGCAGAATAAAGAACTACCCCTAATGAGGCGTGCAGTTGGTGCAGTTTTATATCATTGTTCTGACATAAATTCTGAAAGTCGCCATTTGTTTTGTCCTCAAACAACAAAGAGCTGGCGTAAATGGCAAAAAGATAAACTTGAAGGTACAAGTACCTACAAAGCACATTTAAATTTGCCTCTGGCTATAAAAAAAGAAATTGAAGGCATCTTTAAAGATCTTGGCTCTGAAGATCTTCTGAAAAAATGTTTTACATGTGTTTTAAAAGTGCTTACATGGGTTTACCCAAAACCCAAATAAAGCTTTAAACAAATTAATTTGGAATAAGTGCCCAAAGTCTCGTTTTGTATCAAGAACTGTTTATAAATTACAATGAAGGTGTTATAGGACTTAATCGTGTATTTGAACTAATAAATTTGACTCCTGGGAAATACTTTTTTTTTTATGCAACAAAAAAGGACAGTACTCGTATCAAACAAGTTAATAGTAAAATGAGCAAAAAAAAGAAAAAACAGAGGAAAAGTATGAGTGCATTAAAAAAAGGATTCTTTGACAAAGAAAAAGAGACAGAGGGTGAAGCTTATAGTTCTGGGGCACACTAGTTTCATGTTTGTTTACTATTTATTTCATTTTTAATTTTGTTTTTCATTTTTCTCAGAAATAAGTTTTTGTTACGTTCACTTAAATTCAAACAACAGTTTTTAGTACTTCTGTTTAACCGATTGACTTGAAACTTTCACAGACTTTTCTTTAATATTAGAACTAGGTTCTGAACTAAAAACAACTATTTAGAACAAACAGATCTTGTATAATCGCACGTTGATTTGCTAAAATGACCTTATTTTTCAATGCTCAAAAATAATTGTCAGCCATTATGGATTGGTACATTTCGAATTTTGATTTTAGTTCAGAACCTTCTTTACTACTTTACCTTTATGCTGTCAAAATTTGGTTCAAATATTATTTACAGATTTTGAGAAACTAATGTTTAAAATTTGATACTTTTTTAATAAAATTTTTGCTGAGCAGCAAAAATTTTATTAAAAAAACAGCTTTTTTTTTTTCAGCATTTTTAAAAACTTTTTGTCAAATTTTTTTTTCATTAAATATATCAACAGTAAACTTAGTGCAAAGACATTTTTTTTAATTTTAAAGAATTTAGAAAAAAAGGGGTAAAGCCACCTTAAACGGGCTATTCGAATACAAGGTATGATAATCAGAATCAATTTTTCAGGATCCTGGTAGTCAATATATTGTTTGTATATTTGTAATTTAAGAGCGCGCAAACGTCAACATGACAAATTGACGTCTATTGAGGCATTAGAATTTACTGGGAGAAGAAAAATGATTGTTAAGGTATTGTAATTGTTTATCAACTTTTAGCTATGATTGAAAATAAATGCAAACTTAAGCTCTACTAAACTCTCGTTTCGCATTTCTACTTTTTTAATTGCACAAACTTTTAAAAATAAAAATTCAAACTTTTAAAAATTTAATTCAAACGCCCAAAAACTTTTATAAATTTATAAATTAAGTGTTGTTGCAAAAATGTTCTTTTTTCCTGCTGTGACTAATTATACCCGGAGAAAGGTTATTTTTAACTTGTAAACTTTTCTAGTTAAAAAGGACCTTTCTCCGGTATAATTACAATGTAAAATCGTAAAGTACAAAGATCTGATGATTTCCTTGAACTATATTTCCTCGGCACAAAATTTTTTCTATGACTTAACAAATGTAAGTGCATTAGATCAAAAACCAACAAGTAAATGATGGTAAATAAAAACAATTAATAATAAATCAAAGCTATTGTAAATGTATTTA